ATATATTTTCATTCAACAATCCCTATGAGTTTCCTTTAAATGAATATTTTTGTTTGCTGTATCTTATCGTATGACGTCCTTTAACGAAGGTTATGCAAACTTCTCATTGCTAAAACAAATCATTTTTAAGCTGATTTTTTAATTTTAACTTTATAAAAAAAACAAGAGTGATTTTGCGTATATTCATTATTTGTTACTAAATCTTTAGTCTGAATAAGCGAAAAAAAATAATAATCAGTAAATTTTATTACGTTAAAGTATAACTTGCTCTATGAGTAATTATAATTAAATATTTCAAATTAATTGTTCAATTGCTATTAATAATTATATAAAAAAACTTCGAAGTACTTACTCGTTTTTAATCGCACTTCGTTCCTCTACTCACGAGAATTTGCCGAAAGTTCTGGTCGTATTCCTCAATTAATTAATCATTAGAAATTGTTATCTTTTACGAGATCGCATTAGACGGTTTACGGTGACCGATTTTAGAACGAGTTTTTGGAAGAGTGATTACGAATTTTGTGCTCAGTCAATTCATACGAAACTTTGTTTGTTTCCTCTTTTAATCGTTTGGAATTACATCTGCAAGTTTTTTTTTATATCAGACAGATATCAGTTATCATATTAGCACAGATAATTTAACATAATTCTATTAGTTTTTCTATCATAACATTTTTTAATAGGCCTACTTTAAGTTTATTATTTGTTTTTAATTATGAGCTTACCAGTTTGTTTTAGTTTTTTTATAAACAAAAATAACTAAAAATCTCGAACTTGTATTTTATTAATTTAAAGTTTTAAAGCAAATTTATTGTTATTATTCCCAATAATTGTACAGCTAATTAGTTGGTTTTATCTATTTTAATTCTTATGCTTTGTTTTCTAGATATACCTACTCTTTCTTTTGGCTTACCTGGTCTTATTCTCTTTTGATATTTCATTTATATTATTTTCTTCTAACCTGGAATTAATGCCTCATACTTTCAGAATGTATTTCAAATGACTCTTTCGCATGGTTTTGTGTATAAATTAAATTAACTTAACGAAGCTACTGTCGTAATATTCAAAGAGCGTAAACGGGTTAAATGATTAAAAAATCACAATGATGAAATGCCTAACTGGGGTAATAGAACAACATATTCATTTTCGATTTACTTTTGTGAGTGGTTGATATAATTTAGTAGGCTAAAATATATATATATATATATATATAGGACTATTAACGTGCTACAGCCATCTAGTGACAGGAAATGACATTAATGTCAAGTTACAAGTTTTAAAAGATAAATAAAGCTTTATGAAAGGATAAAAAAATGGAGCATTCATATTAACAGTTAACTAGGTTAAGCAAGGAACATTTCATTCAACATCCGAGAAGCGCAATGGGTTAAAGATCTTTAAATTCCGGGCGAACAAAGCCTAATGAGTAGACTCTAGCCAAAATCAACAAACACACACGCATACACAAGAAAGTACTTCTATATTTAAAAAAAATTCTGTAAGAAGCTCTTATTTACATAAGAGTTAGAAGAAAAATAATAAAGAATTTCTATTAAATTTTCATTTTTTTACCAGCCAAATTTGAAATTTTTTTCGATTATTACGTGATCGTGACGCAGTGTCGGAAATCGATGTGTGACGTCATTCGTCGATTTTGACCTTGCGTCACACAACAGTTTAGTTATTTACGGAATGAACATGTCCTAGCAACCAGATGTTAACGAATAGAATCGGGCACAATTTGCCGTCTCATCCTTCCACTCTCTGTAAATTATAAAATTAGTAGAATTCATTTTTTGTTAATGTTTAGCCTCACTCAAAGTAACTTGTTAACGGGACAATCGCGTTTCTAACAGTTAAGGAAGTGTTTCCGGTTTCCGATACATTCGGTCGTGAGAAATTGGAATCGTATACGTTGACTTCATCCCCTGTAAAGTTTGTTTCCTGCCGAGCATTGCTGAGAAGAGGTGAAGCATTCCTTAACATTTCAATTATTAATGGTTAATTAAACCAAATCTGTTGAAAATAAATTGATTTTTTTTAATTTATTTATTTGTTTAAAAATAACAGAAAATTCAATTTTTTTAGTCTACTTTTTAAATAAATTTCTTTTTCCCCCTTCTCTTTTCATTTAATTTTCGATGAGAATTTTTTTTTTTAATTTTTTTTCTAAACTTTTTTTGCCTTTTAATTTTGGTTTTAAGGAAAAAATGTTAAAATATTTAAATTTTATTTTTAAAGTTTTGAAAATGAAAAGAAAATTCAGCTGCGGAAATGTTTAACCTTTAAAAAAATAATTTATTTCTTTTAAAACTGCTATCTCTAATTGCGTTGCTGTCTTTTAATAATAATAAAAATATTATCAAATTTAAAAGAAAAATTGTATTATTTTATTATATAATCGATCTAAAATAACGAGAATAAGTCACTGAAAGCTTAAATTAAGCCTATAGTGCAAGAGTATAAAAGGGATATAAAAAAATCCAAGCATAGTTTTTCGAGGTTAACCACCATTTGAGAAGAACTGGACTATGTAAATAAAACAGTACATTGCACATAAGTTATATTTATTTTATACTCGTACAATTTTCCTTTAGATTACTGGATTGTGTTACTTTATATATCTATGTTGTAAAACTTAATAAACTATGTTGTGAAGACCTGATGTGAATTTTTAACCTCATCCTTTAAAAACTCCTGCGAAAAATGCCCGAAAGAACTAGTTTCGGAGAGAGAAAATACTATAGAAAATTTTGTTTTATAACCAAATTTAGAACAAAATTGATGATATTTTTTCATTAACTGAATGAAGAGTTATCAAATATTCTGTACGTGATCCCACAAAGTGAGTTTAAATTATTCCGGAACTCAGTTATGCAATATTAACAATTTTTCTACGAAATACATAAACATTGCATAACTGTTTAATATATTTTATTTTTCTAATCTCTAGAGGTGTGTGGGAACGAGCAATTCTGTTTCACACCCAAATTTCTATCGAGAATGAATTTTTTCCTTGAATGAAACGAAAAGAAATATAAATAATTGAAAGATATAGTATAGATAATAAACACAAAAAACGGAGAAATAATCGAATACGATTTCCCAGAAACTTATTACCGCACCTGGTTTTGACGTAAACTCGATTAAAGTATTAGTGGAAGCTAAGTTTTTTTTTCTTCTTATATCATCGATATTGAATGGAAGAATGAGTTTTATTTTAAAACCGATAAGATGATTGAAGAAGAGACATTAATCTAACGCTGTATGGAATAATGTGGAAAGACAACTGGACGCCATTTGGCAATGAGACAAGGATTAAATCAGATCCAATAGTCAGCAGACATAAGCTTAACACTTCTTTACATTGGCTTTCATGTCGGCCATTCGGTAACGTTATATGATGTAATGGAAAAATGGAATAGTTCTCGCATCATTTCGTAAATGTTGCCTACACATTCCGACAGTGTTACAACACACAGACCATTACACTAATTAAATGGGCTTAAACTTGACTTTTAATTTAACTATACAATAAAAGACTGTCTTCAATTCAAATTTTTTAAATATTTTTATTTCATTTCGAACTAAAATTCATTTATATTACTTATAAGGAGAAGAAATTAACTAACAATTCTCTCACCGGAGAGTAACGCTGATAAAAATCTAACGGGAGTGTTAACAAAATATCCGGATGATTTGTCATCAGTTCCGATTCTACAAATATGTAAAAAATTGGTTTCAAATTGTAAATGTGCATTCTTTCAACAATAATCTACAAAAAATAAGTTGATAAAGTTCAAATATTGTATTATAGCATTAGAAGGTGGTTTTATTTTGTCTACTGGACATCGCTATAACTTGTTTAAATGTAAAAATAAAATTAGACCTAATTAGGCAATTAAATCTTATAACAATTGCTATTCGGCTTCTGTTATTTTCTGAGCGTATGCATTTGCAATGTTGAGTTAAATAAATCATTATCAATTTATTATAGTTAATGTTTATAAGATTATTTAAGCCTGTTTATAAATTATAAATCACAGCAACGTATCTGATAAGTTCAAGATTTTTTTATCGTTATCTTGAAGACATATCTCAAGTCATAAGGCAACACTTGCCTATAATTATCTTAATAGTTCTTATGTAGAACAATTAGATGTTTCTTAAATTTATAAAACAACATTTTAATCTATCTTAAACAGCATAGTTCGTAAGCGACATTTTAATTTATCTTTTCGTGTTAGGTTAGTTTAAACTAATTTAGTATGATCCACTTAGGTGTGAAATTTGGCTTTGCAGAACTGATATATTAGATCTGACCTCGATGCTTGGCTTTGGGTTAACTTTTTTCCCCCACTCTTCTTCTTTAGCTAATGACATTTCTAGTGTGTTGTCCCCGTTTAGAAGAAAATAAGACTTAATATAATTAGAACTGGAGTATGACAAGGTGTAGTGTTCGTATTGAACCGGATGAAAGAAGCTATACAATATTTGTAAAGTATACGAAAGTTTCGCAAAATCGACAGCATCGTATTTCTTTTTAAAAGAAATTATTATTAAATGTGTAATAAAATTCATTAATCGATACACATTTGTTAGAATTGAACGCTTATTCTCATGTAATTATTTTAGGATAGCGTCAGTACTCCTTGAGAAATTGTATAGTCTAGAATATTTGCCATTAAATTATAATCTTTCAATGGACAATTGACTGCGAATTATATTCGCATTTAAGGATTTAGAAAGCTTAATAATTCAAAATCTAGCCAATTAGACAATAATTATTTCCTATGTAAATTTGTTTTCAAATATAAAATTTACATGTAAACTGAAAATTGATTAAAGTCGAATAAAGCTAAACAGGACAACCTAAGAATTTCTTTATAAATTTAAATAATAGTACATTCTTAATTAATTTAATATTCTAAAAATTATTACATGTTTACTATAACTTTGACAATGTATTAGGCCTACTAATAATTTTATAACAAATATACCTGATAGGCATCTTTGATGTTAACTGTTTCCTTACTAAGAGCCACGTGTCCTGCAATTCCGACACCAAACTGTATAGGGGGTATCTTCTCCATTTGTTCCGCAGCCGAAATAGCATCTTCCAATTCGCATTTAGGAGTAACATCGAAGAGTTTTGCAACCAAATATCTGCTATCTCTGCTTCCTTTGGCTAAAAAGAGACTTCCTCGATCGCTGTTTGTAAGCATGCAAACATTGACCAATATTTTATGGCATAAAGTGTCGATATCTAATTCGTTAGAAATATCTCTAATTAGTTCCATTAACAATTCGTGTTCGTCCAAATTCTTCAGGTGATTTTGTATTTGAACTCTAGACAAAGAGTCCATGCTCCTTTTTCTTTTTGGTTGATGTACGATGCTACGGAACAGTTCGGTAGTGACAGAATTTCTGCCACCTTTAGAAAATTCGGCGTATGCATTGGATAGAGTCTTTTCCGATTCGAATTGGTCCGTAAAGTTAGTGCAACCGATATCTTCGTGCAACAGACCACGGACACTCAGCCATTCCGCGATCATATCCTGAGAAGCATTAACAGAATACCACTTTTTAGCAAACTTGGGATGAGTTATAAGATAGTGATCCACGTACATTTCCTGATCTTCGTGCCCGCATCTACATAAAAATTCCATTCCTTCATCCTCCCTTTCTTCCAGCAGAGGTTTAAAATCGTCCATATTTATCCAACCTGAAAGGAAACAGTAGCGTTCTTTAGACTCTGGGAAAGCAAAAGCAGGAATTAAACCAATAGGAAGTAGGTGACGTCAAGCTGCGACTCTTTCGGCCAAAGTCAATTGAAACCTTAGAAAACCGCATTAAAACGGGTGCCTAGACGGTTGCCATAGCTATGATTATTTGACTACTTGACAAAACTATTCTGACATCTCGTCGCGGTAGTCCGAAGAATTATTTTTTAAGAGAAGGGGACGAAGAAAATTTAATAAAATCCCCCTAAAAAGGGCGACCGTATCTCCTATCGACAATCAATTAGAGATAAGTTATTGTTACTACGACAACGGGTCATAGTTCGGGCGAAGGGGAAACGTAAAGCGTCACTAGTATCCACCTGTAGACTAGTTATTAATATGCTAAAACCGTGGAAAGTTGGCATACCTACCGCTTAGGTATTAAAAAAACGGTTTCGTTCCGAGACAGGTTTTTGTATTACTGCTATATGTCGTCGGCTTTTTGTTCTCGTATACCTAAGCGGGCAAAACGGAGGTGTCGTCAGACAAGTTCTTTCCACTCCAAGGTCTCGAAAACCTTGGTTGTTCAACCTTCGAGAAGACGGAAAACTCCTTCGGACATGACACGTGACTTCCGTGACGTCACCGATAAGGAAAGACCGTCCCGGAATATTAAATTAAACTTCAAGGTTAGACGTCTAAACGTTTCTTTGCTTAAATATCCTTTGATAATTATACTAAAATCGATATATTTTCGTTTTTTTTATATATTGAAAAATACTTTGCTTTACATTATATTTTAATATCGAATATAATGAATTATTAAATTGTTATTTTTTTGTTTTCTCTATGTCTTAGTGTAAATAAACAATATCCGTCCTTAAAATAAATTTTTAAATTTAAAAGATTGATAAATAAAAATAATAAATTATTTTAAAGAATAACAAAAAGCAAAAACACAAAAATTTAATTTTAATTAAGGAAAATTATTTTTTTCCTACATAAAAACGATTGAAATATATTAAAAACTTTCATTTTCCAATGGAAATAAATAAAAATTTTAGATTTTGGACCACGAAAAAATATAAAATATTATCTTTAGAGACAATTTTAGAGCGTGAATAATAGAATAAACGAGTTAAATTAGTTATTGTTTTTATACTCGCTCTAAGTGTCAAAACGATCATTTAAAAAGTTCTTGGCTCAGTACATATTTTCGGAGTATCCCTCTAATCTAATTTTAAATAGGTCTATGTAAAACACTTCCAGTTCTGGGGCAGAGAACTAGCCCTGTTTAGAAGCATCAAGTGCCAAGTTAGGAAAAAAAAAGAAATAAAAGAAATATAGCGTAAAGAGAAAAACAACCACAATTAGCCAGAAAACAACTTGTTTGGTAAAAAAAACCGTAAAGGATAATTACACTAGTTTCTAAGGTAAAAAACCTTATAGATTTGCTATGGACTCGTCTAGCAGATATGACTTTAGGCTAATGTCTATTATTTATGTTAATCTTAATGCCAGATCTTTCTATTCCTCTTCTCAAATTTTTAAAACGCACTTCATGCTGACATTTATCAATAACATTCGATAAAATGGCATAAACAAAACACGAAATCTATTCAATTATCTCTAAAATAATCTCTTTCATAGTTTAACAAGTAAAAATAAATTAAATATTCGATATAACTTTAAATATATAAGTATTTAAAGCTACATCATTCTACTCGTCTACATTTTTTTTTTCTGTAGAAGAAAACTTACTTTCTGAATTTGTTTCCTATAGGACGATGTCAAAAATATATGAAAGGCAAGTGATCCATTGTGCCCACATCATCATCCTTTTATTCTTTCGACAGATTCTATTTTGGGGAGACCAACGAGCGACAACAGTTACTCCACTCCGGTTGTGATGACGTCGCGCACAGCATTTTCGATTCTAACTGTATTGGTGGAATATCGTCACGTGTTACCAATGAGAAAGAGGTAAGTTTCATTTTAAAAATTAGGGTAAGAATAGTAAGAATAAGGACGTTTTTTTCTTTTCCTAATGAATATTACTGAATGATAATAAAGGAGCCACGTGCGTAGAAACTCTTGTGAATAATCATGAATAACGGAACTTCGACAAGTTTTTCCATAGTTTCAAAACTGACGTAGAAGATAATATAATGTAATTTTCCTATATCTTGTCTTAGGAGTGAATAAAAATAAATTTTATTAATATATAAATGAATCGACAAATAAAAACATCAATACATAAGGAAATTTTAAATGAACCTAATTAACCATTATGAAGCCATTGAATGGAAATTATCACGAAAACTTCATGTAAATTATTTAATACGAAGAAAATATTTCATAAATAACTTATTAAAACTTGATTTTTAATAATTAATTTATAAATATATTTCATCTTTACAGTAAACTTCAGAATATTGTAAATAGTAATTCCTTTGTTTTCGATGGGAAATTAAATAAATCTCGCGCAACAAATAATTGTAAATAGTTTAAAAAAATTAAAAGATACCAATTAGCATAATTAATATGAGAATTAATTATATCATAAGTTATAAGCTAACAGATGATAATAAATGGGGTATTATCAACTGTATATACGCTTGTAAATTGTAATTTACCAGATTTTTGTACTTTTCCATTTTTATTAATAAAATATGCAATGTTTTCTTTAGCTGTAAACCACGCCCTTCATTAACAGAATAACTTTTAATCTTTGTAAAATTTTCATAATTATCTTTTCATATATTTTTTTAAAGTTGGTAAAATCGCATTTCATAAATAGAAAATTGTTTTCGTTTTCTCACAAGTAAAAAAAATATATTTAATATATATTAATAAAATACTTGCAACATGATTTAACTTTATTTCTCCGTTCAAATTCCGTAGACAATTTTATTAATTGTGCCTTAATTAATCTATTTTTGTATATTTTAATCCTATGTAATCCATTTTGTATATTTTAACTATATTTAGAAAATAAATCTTCTTGGAAGAAACTTTTTGTGAGTATTAAGGAAGTGGATTAATTTAAAGTAATCCGAATTATTAGGCTTCATTGGTCAAGATAGAAACAGAACAAACTTGCTTACATCCTGTCTTACATCTACGTTTCCCGGACGTTCTACAATATCACCTTCCGTTAACATTCATGTTTATAGAGTTTTAATTAAAAATTTCCGACTTATTTTCATAATTTACTGTAAAAAAAAGCATTTAAGAATCGTCGTTTCATGCAAAAGTTTACAAAATACATCATCGAGAGGGAAAAAATATATAGGTTGAACGACTTAAAACACTTAAGGTCATTCACTCGTGTCCTAGATGCAGTAGCTACTCATCATTTATAAAGAATGTGATTTTTATGTAAATGGATTTCTTTAAATTTTTAAGTAATAATAATAATAAATCCTGAAAATCATTTACAATTAACAAAACTGAAATTATTGTATAAATAGTAGACGAAAAATCGCCGCCATCAAAATATGTTGGCAAGAATGATTGATCAAGATCAACAAGTTGTCAACAGAATAGTATATGCATCTATAGTATCCGTTGGTGTCTTATTATCTTGGCAGGAGGCACAGTTAATCTTCACTACCCATTGATAAAGAGACGAACTCTTTAGATAAATTAAAGGTTAAACTAGGACAAGTTTTATTTTGTTAAATTTATTAGAAGCCATTAAATAGGCTCAAAAACGGAGATAACCTAGAAAACTTCATAAAAAGTTTTCAATTGAATGAAATCTTTATATGTAACTATACATAACCACATTTAAAAAAGCTTTAATATTTTATTATATACATATTAATTGTTATCAATGACCATTACTGAGAATGCTTTAAGAGCTATACAAACAAGATACGTGTATTAACCTAATTTATCCCTTTCAAACTTTAGATTATGCAAGAGTTTCTGTAGTAATTTATTTATAATAAAGAAACTCTCTGTGTAAGAAACAGGAAAGTGACAATAAATCAACGTTAATATCGTCCATTCATGTTTCGTTAAGTTATTTTCACGTTGAGTAGTGTGTGTGTGTAGGATCTATGTGCATTTCAACGACAAATACCGTAAATATTATTGAACTTACTCTATAAATTCGACAGTAAATTCGTAAAAATGAAGAGAAATTAAATTTCTTGTAATATTTAATAATAATTTTACATTGAGTAAAATTATTTTATTGAGGCTTATTTGGGTCGTCCACGTGTACAGTTTTTTAATCGCTTTGACCCCCTCATTTTTTGTATAGTGGTGTACTTTTAGTAAACTCCTCCCCGTATACAATAATAGTTCTTGGACCCTCTGACTTTGAAGAAATTACTTTAAAATTTCTGCAAATATTTTTTAACCGATAATTTATTCACATAACTAGGTAAGTAGGCTTATAAGAACAAACTCGTATGTCACTAATACCATGTAGACAATGCCTCGACCCTTCCTTCCCCATTCTGTACAATGACGTATTTTTCGCGAAACCCCCACTATTAAACTTAATTGAAAATGTTTTGCAAATTAGAAATATATGCTGTCAAATTTCGATGTAGCATCACACTCGTTTGTCATGTGGCGCAAAATCGAAACACTTATATGAAACAATGAGGTTTACACACAAGCTTGAAGTTTGAAAGTCATGTAATTTGGTGATAATATTGCCCTTTGCAACGTAAAAATTGTGCACTCAACAGTTCGAAGAGGCTAAAGCATTGTCTATTTAATATTGAAGTAAAAGTTCCGCTGGCATTCTATGCGGGTAGTGCTATACAGGAGGACGTTATATCGAGGTTTGACTATCTTTAAAACTAAATATTTGATCGAAAACTTAATAGATTCAATTTTTATTTTCGTATTAAGTTACGTGCTAGATGCAGACTCCTCCAATATCTACAGATGCAAAATAAAATAATAATTTGTTCGTTTATACGTCATCCATTTGAATTTTTCACGAAATAAGCATTTTTCTAGTTTTATAAAACTAGTTTTAACATATTTTCCGTAGAAATTACATCATATCCCACTCGTACTAATTATAATCCGGCGAAACAATCGCGTTTAAGGAGAACAAATGACAGTTACATCCTGTTCATTTTTAATAATAAATATTACATTTTAATTCCGCACGCTTCTCGAAATTATTTGTTATTAATCATTTCTGATCACGTAAACTGTTTGAATCGAATAAAATTCGTATTTAAGTGATAAGTCGACGTCCATTGATTATTGTTAGAAAGGATAATTGTTCGTGAAAATTTTGTATAATTTCATGACGAGGGCGAATACGTCATCTATGATATTCTATCGGACATTGCTATTCATTTGTCACGTGTTTTTTTGTCATAATAATGCATTGGGATGTATTGGATGTGTTATATCTACATCTGCTTCGACTTTTTACTCCGTTGTCACGGTAACGAGAGGAATGGATCGAATAAACAACTTTTATTTTTGTGTCGATTATTGTAATTTGACTACTGTATTAATACTAAATGAATGGTACAGTACATAAATTATTCAAATAGTTTATTTTTTTTAATTTAAAAAAGATATCGATTTTAAAAAAATGTCGTTTAGAATCGAAAAAAAATACCGGAAACAAGTGGCGACATTTCCAACGATTCCGCCGGAAGTAACAGATCGATCGTCTGACAAGTTAGAAATCCGATTAAGATAAAGGGAAGGAAAAAGAGAGTTCAGTCACTCATATAATACTTTTAACTCTAATTTTGGTAAAGACATTTTTAAAATTTTATTTGCGAAAATATTTCATTTATTTTAAAATTACGTCACGTTTTATTACCATCATTTATTATCGTGTTTAGCATATCGGTACACGTGCACCCAGCTTTTACAGTCGGTGACCCAAACTTAACTTGTCAATTACAATTAATACAATATTAATTATTTTCTTGAATTTATTTATATTAATAAAACCTAATTCATTAAACATAATTTATTTATTATTTAAATAAATAATACGTAATAGGCTGGTGTGTGTCTGTCCTGTATACCTGAACGTGTGGATAAAAAATATAAATAAATAAAAGTGATAGTTTCACACGTCCAGGTATACCGGTACATATGTACCCGGTTTAAGGAGTGTTAAAGAACTTTAAGGGCTCTATTTGGTAGTTTATCACTGATGATAATTTTAAAATATTGTGAAATTAAGTTTCAAAATATCATAATATGGTATATATAACTTTTCTTTATACTATTTTATAGCAAACAACAGAAACAATAGTCCATATATAGAGATGTAAGGTTATTAAGAGGAAAGATGCGCTGGAGATATCGATCATGAGAAGTCGGATGTTTCTACTAAAGTGAGGAAGGAAAAGAGATTCCGAGCGAAGATTTCAAGAGTGGATATTGCCTTCGGAAGAAACCGATAACATAAAAATGCAACAAATTTAAAAATTGCTTTCTTTTTTAAAGGTAAGATACAATAACAGTAATAAAACAAACCACATTACTCCTTCCTAAAATAAATTATAAAAAGCTATTTTATAGCACAGCATAAATGGCATATTCCTTTATATAATTCAAAAATAAACTATAGAAAGTATGATACTGCTTCGGAGTATATATATATCGATATCATATTTACAATATTATTATGTAAATATAGGAAATAATATACTGTATATGATATCTGTATAGAAAACTGTTATATAAATATATAGGAGTGTTATATATGACACAATTGAACTTCCAATAATGGGTCATATCTAAACAGCGACCATTTTTTCAAGAACTTTTTATTTTTGAACAAAAAATGCATCAAAATAACTTCCAAACAACNTAAAATAAAAAATTATTTGATAGATAAGAAGGTGTAACTGTAATAAAATAAATACTATATTTAAATTTACTGTTTTATTATACTCCACGGCATAAACTATTTATAAAACATTTCACATAA